CGCCAGACGATGCGCGAGACGCTGGTGGCGTCCTCGTTCTGTGCGGCGATGCGGATCATCTCTGTGGCGGGCGCGACGCGGCCGGCCTTGATGGCCTCTGCGAGGTTGGCCTCGAGGTCTGCGAGCGCATCGAACTCCTGGCTCTGAGCGGCGGCAAAGTCGAGGCGGTGGTCGGCGGAGAGGCTTGCGCCGTTGGTGGTGATGGCCTCGTTGAGCGAGCGGCCGTGCGAGAGGTTCTCGAGCTCGAGCAGGTTGGCGGCGGCAATGTCGCTGAGCTGCGCGATGAATTTGAGGTTGAAGCACGGCTGCACCTCGACCTGGCGTGCAAGGTAGAGCTCCTTGGTCTGTGACTTGGAGCGCTTGTCCCACTTTTTGAGGATCTTGCGGAAGCCGGTTGCGTTGATCTCGATGAATTGCTGGAGCTTGGAGAGGTCCTTTTCAAAGTAGCGGAAGCCTTCGTAGAGGGCGACGTAGGAGGGCGAGTCTTTGGAGAGCTTGGACGAGTTGCGCGACTCGAAGATGATGCGCTTCTTGTCGATGAGGGTCTGGAGGCGCGACTTGAGTTCAGCCTCCTTCTGGAGATAGAAGTTGTTGATCTTTTCGAGCTCGCGTTCGAGCTTGAAGAAGAAGGCGGCCTTGTGGATCTGGAGCTCGTCCGAGCCCTGGAGCTGCGCTAGGATCTGAGGCTGAGGCGGCGAGACGATGGAGGCGTCTGCGTTTGCGGCGGTGCTGGCATCCTCGGGACGAACGCCGGTAGCAAAGAGGGCGGCATCGGCGAGACGGCCCTTTTCGAGCGAGTTGATGATCTTTTTGAGGAACTTGTAGTCGAGGTAGTAGGCACCCCAGCCGGAGATCTGCTGGCTGAGGATGTACTTGCCGAACTTCATGGTGCCTGGAGGACGTTGCTATTTGATGGCAATGACAACGGCGGTCGATGCCGGCGCAAATGGAGCGGTGCAGCGGTGGATGGGCGGCCGTGGCAGCGTTTGGGACAGCAGTGATCAGGGAGCTGACAGCGGCGCGAGCAACGATCGGGAGTGGAGCGGAAGGGCTCTATCTACTAGAGGTGCATTTTGCAGACCAGCCAGTCAAGCGGTGGGTGGGTCGGGGCCAAGAGTGCAGCCCAGTATGACAGCTGAGCTCGTGAATGGCTGCTTGGACCTGCGGATTCCAGTCGGGCGTGATGGCCAGCGAGCTCGGTGTGATAGCGAGAGTGTGGTCGAGACAGAAGCCGGGTGCTCCGATGGTTGCTCTTGCGATGATGAAGGCAGCGTGGGAAGCCGAGTGCCTTTGGGCGGCGAGAAGAAAGGCGTCGAGCTAGCTGAGCAGCAGCAGCAGCAGCAGCAGCA